AATTTCTCAAAATAAAATATTTAGGTGGCGACTCTGTATCTGGCAAAGCAGTCCATGTTTGGCACTTCTTTTCTAAAAATTTGTTTTTCTCAAAACGATTTGCCGGATTTGGACTCCTTGGTTCAGATTAAGAACCGTGACAATTCGAGAGTCTGAACTGTAGTAAGCCCAATACGAACAGAACGGGACTCACCCTCCCGGGGCGTTCGGGCGCATCTACAGTTTTTGGCGACTCTACTGGGGACTTAGAGAGCTTGACTTGAACTCGTGATATCCTGTTTTGATTTCACTTATGTGTTTCTTTGCATTGCATGTGCATTGGTGCGCCTAGGACACCGTGTTTGCCATCTGCTATTCCTGAACGATTTCCCGGAGGCTTGCTTTGTCAAAGCATGCCATAAGGCTGACCGGTTGCGGGCTCTGCCAGTATGGGAACACAAACCCCGGTTTTTACCAAGGCACCCTTTTTGACCATTTCGACCTAGTGCATATTCGGAAACCATAGTGACCATTCCAAACTAGGACAGGTTGCTTACCCGGTTATAGGTTGTTTGAAACCGCTGCGTGCGTAGTGAAACCCTAGCTCCTGAAAAAATAGGACAGGGAAACCCTACCCCAACATAGGGTTGTTTTGGCTCTCATTTACGTGCTATGTGCTTTTAGAGTGTATCTCTACAGGAACGTACATACCAATTTGCAAGTCTGGGGAATCAGGCCTAAGGGCATCAGTATCAGAATTTGAGAATCGGTTATATCCACAGGTATCAGATCCAGTGTTTCGGGGCAGTGATCTTGGGGAACAGTAATCAGTAGTAGAGTATAGTTGTTCAGCTATTGCTCGTGTCTGTTCTGATTGGGCCGAAATGCTGCGTGTTTTCTCTTTCAGTTCAGAGATTTAGTACAGAATAGCCAGTGTTCTCCATTGCTGAGGCAAGACAGATATCTGATCCGTCAGTCACCGTTCAATTCAGCGGGCTTATGATGACGTAGAGTTCAGAGGAAATTGTGGTTATGGCAGCCGCGTTAGACCAAGGGATCATCTTGCAAGATGAGACCAATGTTGATGTACCGCATCTGCCCAGGTCGCCTGCTGCGCGCCTGATCTGGGAACCCCAGATGTTTCAAGTTCGTGAACCTACCACATTTGAGTTAATGGGAAAGATTGGCGATCTCCAGAGATCCGTGGCCGATCTGGCCTATGGAATGTCGGCTTCGCCACCAGCCATATCATATGCCGGGAATTTTGTACCACAAGAGCCCCCGCTACTGGGGCGGATTGTCATTGAGCTCAGCCAACCAGAGGTTGCCTCCAGCTACAGCAACGACGTGTCAACAACAACCGGGTTTCGCTCTGATGTAATAACCCAAACCCTTGATCAGGCTGAGGCTAGAGGTAAAGATAAAGTGAGAGCAGATGCTGATCCTGTTGAGCAACTGCTGTGGGCAGTCGAGGCTTTGAAAGCTGGGGGAATGACTAAGCAGCAAGTATTCGCAGTTATGGCTAAAGCTGTGGATAATGCTTTCCCCACTCCAACCGAAGGCAGTTCAAGCCAGGCGGAAAATCGGGATAGGCCCCGTCATGCCAAGACAGTTCCTGTCATTCCCAGCCCTGGACCAGGAAAAGATCAGAAAGCCAAGGCAGTGCCTGCCGACCCTTTTGCTAGTGCGTCTAGCAAGAACCCTCAGACTTCGAAGTATCTGCCTCGAGGGCGCAGAGCCTTTCATGCCCTCTACATTCCTTTGTCTAGGGGATTCCAAATATTGGCTAAAAAGGGGCATCTTAAACCCCTCGAGCCTTGGCCCCTCCCGAAGAATCTCCCTCTTTCGCATGATGCTACTTTGTACTGCGCATACCACCAACAGTCCGGTCACAGTACCGATGGTAGTTTCCGCCTTCGTCATGAAGTGCAAGATTTGATCGACAATGAGGTCATCCTCCCACCTACCTCAGCAAAGTCTGTTACCACTGAGCTGTTGGACTTCGAGGATACTGCAAGTATGTGATCAGGGGTTGGACCACTTGCGGACGGCGCTCGGTGCATTTTGGATGTGGCGTCTGGCACGCACTTTTGAGCATCTGCGAATGCCAATTTTTGTGGTTTCTGACTTAGATGTTAAGTCAGTTCAGTGGTCTTGTTTTGAGTCTGTCTCGTTGTCTTGAGTCAGTCCTTTTTGCTTAAAGGGTCTGTCGTGTTGTGTCGTGTCGGTCGCACTGTATAGAATATCAGGTGATTCCAGGGCTGTTGCCTCGAACACCGTTTTGTTTTGTAATTATCCTTTTGCTTACTTTTGGGTCTGTCTCTGTTGTGGAGCCAATTGCAACTAGGAAATCTGAATGAAACAGCTGCGGCTATCATGTTTCCGTGCTTACTGCTATTTTGAGCTAGTTGTGCCAGAGGATTTGAATGGAACAACAGTACATTCCGCCTGCTCTCTTATGCCCTGAAAATCATTGCATCGACCTAAGTTTTTCAAAACCTTTTTGAACACTGCGGTGAAAACAAAGGGGAAGGAATTCCCCGGGATTTGCAAAATTTGATCAATTGAGGGAAAAATAGGCGTGCTAAGCTTTTAATGACTGAAATCATGCTTGTTAGCGTGAGTACTGAGAAGGACCCTGGCTTGATCCAGACTGGTTCTACACTATCTTCAGCGCGAGCGATTTGTCGCTTTCGTAAAAACTTTCAAAAAACAAAATGTTTTGCACGGTCCTGTGAAGGCCTGTGTGGAATCGCTCTTGAGATTGTGCAGCCTAGGATCGCTCTCAGCCTCAAGATTCAATCCGTTTGTTTCCAAATCTTGAACCCATTCAGAACATCCAGCAGTCAGCCGCCATATGAGGCCCGTGTGGCCAGATTTGAAGCAGCCTTCGAACAAGAGGCCCCAAAGTCAGATCAAGAAGATAAGACCTCATCAGAAGGAGCTCGCGGAGCTGAATCAGAAGCGCCCCTCGAACTAGGGGCAAAAATGTCCGATGTACTCGAAGAGCCGAAGGGGGGTCCTTCAGCAAATCGATACAACAGCCACTCTCCTGGACACGGATGGCTTCGAAACCCTAAAACCATTTGGCATGGACTTGTTACACTTTTACCCTTTGAGAGGCTCGCTGGGCCGAAAACCTGGAAAGGCGACCCAGGCAAAAGTTAGAGCAAGAGAAAAAGAAAAAATAGAAAAAAAAAATGATGAAAAAGAAAAAAAAGAATGACAAAAAGAAAAGAATTGAAAAGTGAAAGAAGAATAAAGCTCGTAAGGTCAAAAACCCGCAACGGGCGCCTTGGCAAAAGTTAGAACGTAAAAGTCAAGGTTAATACCCGAGTGTGCCTTAACCGGAACTACGTAAGGCTTGATTCCCATGTTTGGGATATGTAGGCAGCTTCGTCCTGAAGTCCAGCCCCACGCACTTTCAAAGTGACTGTGTCCATATATTGGTTTTAACCATCTTCGTCTTCTCTGTATCCGAGAGTTCGGTTGTGATCATCACTAAGGAGGACTGTTTACAATACGCTGCGGCGTCATCCAGACAAGGGGCAACTTTCCGTTGCCATGAGTCGCCGTTCAAACCAGGGGCAACTTTCCGTTGCCGTGCAGCGTCCTTCAAACAAGGGGTAATTTTCCATTGCCTCCGATCTGAGGTTGTGCATCTCGAAAGTAAGTTTCGCGCTCATTGAGCGGCGGCCGTTTGCGAAGATAGTTTTTGAAAATTTTTACGGAGGTTGACTATTTTCTCGAAAACTATTTTATTTTTCCAAAACTTAGACCATTTTGGACCCAAAAAGGGAAAACTTTCACTGCTCACAACCCAACTCGCGTGATTTTAAACTAGAAAATTAAACAAGTATGTTAATCTAACTCTCATTTTGGTCAAAACTATTTTAGTAGAAAACCAAAAATGAAAAATGGTCAAAATAATGAATCAGGGGTACAATTGAGTCAGGTGTTCTGTCTTTCCCCCATCGCCAACATACTCGCCAGAAGAAGGCACAATTGAAGTTGTCATTTAAGGGCTGAAAGCTCTCTCAACCTCCGAGCAACGAGGTATCAAACCAAGCACGAAGCACGAATCTGAAGGGATCAAGGTACTCCGTTCCCTTATCTAAGGCATCAACCAAACGCCACCAGAAGAACTAGCCGCGAGCTAACCGCATCGGGTGTGAACCGACAACTTCCTATTCATCCATTAAAAACCCAGTGAGGGATAAAAATGAGAGAATAAAGAATAGAGAGGTGTAAGTTGAGAGAAAGAGTGAGCAAAAAGGGGTTTTGAGAGAAAAACCGAGCCTGAGGGTCGAGTGATGTAAAAATCTCAAATTAGAAAGGGTGGGAAACAATACCCAGAGAAACTGGCTCCTCGTGATCTGAGGTCCCCCGTCTTCGTTAACGCGTCTGTATATCGTGTCTTTTGTTTTGTTTATATCAGCTTTTGTTTTGAGTCTTTTCTGAGCGTGTCTCGTTGTGATTATGTCCTGTACTTTCTGTTTGAGTCTTTTTACTGTGTTCAGTTGTAGGCTCAATACCCCGGTTTAAAAAATCCTTTTTCAATCTCAAAAAATTTTAAATCATGCTGTGCTCAGAGTGTTATGCCATTCTCCACATTTATGCGACGCAAAAGAAGAAAGGGAAAATTTGGGGCATCTGAGTGTGCTTCAACTTCAGCCGATTCTACCTTTGTATTCCGTCTTGTCAGATTGGACTGTTTGTTCGGGGTTTGCCGTGTGCAGAATAAATAGAATGACCTGTATGCAGATTAATTCCCAGCAGAGTATGGGCCGAGTGTTCAGACTAAGTAGTGGTTTGCATGGGTTATTTCGCTATTGGCTAGTTCGTTATCTGGTTATTACAATACAAGTATTTGATTTTCAGACAAAAGAGCAATCTCATTTACATTGAGGTGTAATGCAATGCGAAGCAATGTATGAAATGTACAAATATAACACTTTTTCAGATAAAAAGTTTTGTTTCATTTCATCATCTTTTTCAAGTACAAAGTTTTGGAGGAAACAAAAACCTGCCTGCGGCAGTACAAGGTACTCAAGCTACCAGCAAAAGTACAAAAGAAAAAGAAAAAGAAGAAAAGCAGCAAAAATCTGGATCAAGTGGTCTCAGGCCTACGGATCTGTCCTCGTCCTCTTCCTGGACGAAGGTCTAGGAGCATCGTCATCGGCACCGCCATCTGAGTCTGTGCCATCTCCGGTCTCCTCATCGGACGACTCTAACTCCACCTCTGCCTCCACCTCGGACTCATCATCATCGGGAACTGGTGCCCGTGAGCTACTCCCAACATGGGTGTGCCCCGCCTTGGTGCGGGGGTATACTCTGCCATCTCCTCCAGCAGGAACAGAAGGTCCAGCTGGAGCACCTCCCACGGTAGGGATCTGGAAGGGAGGCTAAAAAACACAAAAGGCAAACGCATCAGTATATTGTGAGCAGTTTATCAGTCCAGAATGCAGTGTATGAATACAGTGTCTGAATACAGTGTGTGAATACTGTGAGCAGTTTATCAGTCCAGAATGCAGTGTATGAATACGGTGTCCGAATATAGTGTGTGAATACTATGAGCAGTGTATCAGTATGCTACAGAATGTAGTGTATGAATACAGTGTGTGAATGCCGTGAGCAGTGTGACAGTGCAAGATGCAGTGTACGAGTACAGTGTATAAATGTCGTAGATAGTGCTGTGAACAGTCTATGGGCTACAGTATGTCAGATGCCGTGAGGGCAGTGTATCCAGTGTCGTGTTGTGCATCTGATATGAGAAACAGTTCATCTATGGTTTGAGACCGCGGTCAGAGAAACATACCGGAATACTGTAAATGGCCAGAAGGTCGAGGCTCTGCTGGAGCATCCCCATCACGGAGGCAGTCAGCTCTAGGGACTGGCAAGTGTACTCAGAAGAGGTCTGCAAAAGCGTTAGAAGCATCAGTATTCTGCGAAATATCAAATGAATTGAAATGAACTAACTGTGCATTATGCAAAACGCAGAAGTACATACCGGAGGTAAGCCGTAGAACCAAACTAACACATGATCAGCCGGAGGGGGAGCAATGGGAATCTGGTAAGTCTCCCCACCCCGCCCTCGGCATGTCATCGTCACGGGCAGTGCTGGCCAACTAGCCCCCTGTCCTCTCTGAGCTCTACTCCTGCCACGGCCCCGAGCCACCCTCAGCGCTCATGCTCCCACCCCTGCTCCTGCTCCAGCTACCGGCGCTGTAGGTCCCCCTCTTTCAGCTCAACGGCCACCGCTCAGAGGCCGCATAATGTACGTCCGAACGTACTCTGAGTAGTCGCCCTCGCCCCTAAAGCCCTCTGCGTCCCAGCCGATCATGTAATCGGCCATCTCCTCGGCAGTGCACCTCTCGGTGTCCTTCATGTGGGTAGGAGGCGGACCCGAAACTATCTGCTCTGGCAAGCCCAAGGTCTGGCGTAGGAAACGCTCACCCAGGTACCAAGCCCGACAGACCGGGCCTTCCAGCAAAATCTTGAAACGTGCAGTTTCTTCTGCACCAGCAAATCGATCCCGAATCATCACAGGCAATGAAGCCCAAGGCTACCAAGTGATCTGTAAATGACATGTAGTTTGTTATCTACTGATATTGAAAATGTAGTGTAAAGCCAAGCCAAATAAAAATCTAAAAGTTGAACATACCTCTGCGGGGGTGATGGTGTCGAAGTAGCGACGGAAGAAGATAAACGTCTCCCGGGGCCTCCGTACTCACCTTACGTCAAAGCGGTGCGAGAACGGAACAACGAGAGGGGTCTCCTCGTCAGGCACTGGAGCGAGCCTCAGAAAGTAGGCGTAGACCCACAACTACAAAGCGAATACTAGTAGGATTATCAGATAAAGCAGAATACAGAATAAAGCAGGAATTGCAGAACTGTGTATTGTGCAGTGTATTGCGCAGAGTGTACAGTGTGTGCAGTGTACACTCAGTATAAAGCAGAGTGTATGTGTGTCGTGTGTGCAGTATACAGTCAGCATGAAGCAAACCGCAGTGCGTGCAGTGTACAGAGTACAGAAAATGAAAGGCAGAAATGTAAAACAAAGAAAGAGGTGTACCTCCCAAGCTCGCCAGTAACCCCCGAGCAACTGCCCACTACAACGGGAGGCTGAGCTCATGTACCCGTAGAGTGTGGCCAAGGCTGCCCCACCCCAGTCATAGCGCAGGATCCTGGTCACGTCCACCAGAGTGCTCTGCAAGCAGAGGGGCACTGTGTTCGCCCGATCGGCGAAAATGGTTGTCCTCAGTAGAAACATGAGGAAGCCGCGTGCGTACTGCTCCTCCCCTACCCGAGTGATCGGCGCCTGATCCCGGAAATGGCTCTCAAACCACGAATATCGCACATATCCTGCCCAAGCGAGTGGCGGCTGAGTGCCAAGCAAGTGTATCTGGGCAGCGTACCACTCATCCATCTTTGTGTCGAAGGGGATCGGATCACCCCCTACCCCGATGCCGGTGAGCATCGAGAAGTCATAGGGAGTCATCGTCATGTCTCCCACGACGGAGAGCTGGAATGAATCGGTGGTGTCCCACCACCTCTCCGCTAGAGCAACAAGGAGAGGTCTATTCGTAGTATGCTGAGAAAGTCCTCTGCAGAAGGCGCCAAAGCCCGCCTGATCGACAATGTGACGGACTGCGTCCGGTAACTCCATGTACCAATCCCTGGCAGTAACATTCCCATACCCGCGGACAGTATGGGATTCTCCCTGTTAAAAAACAACAGTTGCGAAGCAATGTTCAATGTACAGTTTTGAAGAACATTCAGGATTGGTGACAATACAGCGTGTGTGCACGTTTTCAGATTCAAACAGATATCGGGTGTCGGTGTACTCGAAGTGAATTACGGCATATGACGTCTCAGTGTTTCCAAATGGTTCAGTACAGATACAGTGTGAGTACACATTTTCAGATTCAAACAGACATCGAGTGCCGGTGTGCTTACAGTGAACTACAACATGCGATGTGCCAGTGTGTTTGGGTGGTTCAGTGACAATGCAACATGTGTGCACGTGTGTTCACGGTCAACTACAACATACAGTGATCGATGTATCCGGGTTAAGCAGTTAAAAGAACAAAATCAACTATGGCAGTTAAGTGTTCTACATTGCGAAAAATGAAACGGGGAAGAATATACCTCGGAAGCGCCGTATGATAGGTGTGACTCCGGCTCGCGCAAGAGGAGCTCTAGTGGCACACCTCTCGCAAAACTCCGGAACTGACGAAGTCCGTCGGGAGGAAGCACGTGAATCATCGGCCGGTAGGTCGCCGGATCGAACGGACAAACGCTCAAGGGCAGGAGCTCAACCTCTGGGTCCACCTCGTGATTCGGGGGAGTCCTGCCCCATGGAATATCATCTGCCATGTCAAAAATAGTGTGAAGATGGCTGCAAGAGAGAAAATCAGGCTAGAATGCGATGGGTCAACGGAAGGTCATCCCCGAGAGGGCGGAAAATGGCCAGAAAAGCTGAAGTGTGGAAAAAGCACAGGGATGAAGAAAAACTCGAGAGAAACAAGCACCGAGTGGTGGAAATCGCAAAAGAGACACCGAAACAAAGTTTCGATCGGTTCAAAACGTTCGAAACGCGAAGGTATACGTGAATCGAATAACGAAATGGGGCCGAAAACACAAGAAAATGGGAGAACGAAGGAAGAAAAATACTCTAGCGAGAGAGGGGAAGAAATTTCGACCAAGGAAAAGTGGGAAATATAGGGCTGGAGGCCCTATATTTAAAGACCCGAGGCCAAAAGACCAAACTACCCCGATTCAGGCATGTTTGGCCAGTCGGCCACACTATTAGCCGGTCAGCCAAATATTTGGCCTGTAGACTTTTCTGATGGCCAGTAGACAGCCAGTGACCTCCCCTGATGACCGGTGAGCCTCCAACAACCTTGTTTGGGTCAGATGTATAGTTTGGGGTATTTATTTCTCAAGATAGTGCAAGAAATGGCATTTTCGAAGCTCAACCGGCCTCCGTTTTGACCTCGGACTGTGTCTTTTGTGCGTGGCACTCGAATATGTGCAAGCTGTATCCTTTTTGTATCCTTTTGTCTCTTTTAAGATTCAAAAGTTGCCCCGCATGCATTGCTTTACAACGCTTTGGTATGAACGCGTGTTGAGTTATACATCATTATGCTTGCATTGTTTTGCATTTTCAATGGTCTGGTGAGACCTTAAATACGCTCGGTCTAGGAGACCTTAAATCCTCTAAAGGTGCAAGTCCTTCGGTGTTTGTCGTGCCCGAATGACTTTTGGCAAGTTCACATGCATTATCATGCATTTCAAGCGATGCGCATCGCCGCGCATTCGAGTTCATAAGCATTTCGAACGACATGCATGGTCGCACATTCAAGATCATATGCATTGTCATGCATATCAAAAGACGTGCATTGTCACGCATTTGCATCAGCATGTATCAACATGCATCATTTTCATTACAAAAACAAACCAAAAAAAACACAATCATGCATTATCATGCATTTTCAAAAGAAAAACGAAAAGGAGAGCAACATGCATTGCAATGCATTTTCCCCTTCATGCACTTTTCATGCATTTCAAAAAAACAAAACCAAAACAAATAGTGCATATGTCATGCATTGCATCGTAAGTAATGCATATGTCATGCATTCATTGTAGATAGTGCATATGTCATGCATCCCTTATATACATTGCATATGTCATGCATTTCATTACCAATAATGCATATGTCATGCATCACTGTAAATATCACATTTATACCCATCCATTGCATATTGTAGATATTACATTGTAGCTTGCATGCATTCATTGCATCACTTCTATCTAGGGTTTGCGCCTTTCCTTGTTGAGTTTGGTCTGGTATGTGCCCATACTTTTCACGTCAAAGCACAGTTCTACATGTGTACGCGCCTAGTCCATGCTGGTATGTTGGTTTGAGGGTTACGACACCTTTTCTGTGTTAGGCGCGGTTTGTATGTGTCCATGCCTTTCCTAGGCAAGATTTGGTTTGGCCCGCGTGCCTTATCCATTGAATATATTCCATTCCAGTGCATACTGCATTATAGCTTGCATGCATCCACTGCATCACTTCCATCTATGGCTTGCACCTTTCCTTGTTGAGCTTGGTCTGGTATGTGCCCATACTTTTCACGTTAAAGCACAGTTCTGCATGTGTACGTGCCTATTCCACGCTGGTATGTTGGTTTGAGGGTTGCGGCACCTTTTCTATGTTAGACGCGGCTTGTATGTGTCCATGCCTTTCGTAGGCAAGATTTGGTTTGGCCTGCGCGCCATATCCGTTGTACATATTACATTGTAGTGTAATTTTTGCATTTAGCATTAGGATCATTGGTCTTTCGTTAGCGAGTCACTTCCCTACTTATGTCATTCCACCCAATTACTTGTTCTTGTGTCCGTCTACATCACTCATAGTTCTGCATGTGTACACAATTTGAGGGTTGCGGCACCTTTTCTATGATAAACGGACTTTGCACCTCCATCAATCTATTTGACATTTGTGTGGTTTTGAACCGCTCATGATTGGATCATGATCCAATTGCATTGCATTTTCTTTTGCATTATTGTACATAGTTTTGTATATATTGCATATCATTTTGCATTCATCTTGCATTATCATTCATGTTGCTAACAATATTGTACCTGTTAAGTTGCTTTCTTTTACAGGCACGATATTGTATGTACGGTTCATTTGAAACTGGTGCAACCAGACGAACCGCACAGGTATTGTATTCTCCGCGTGAAACGTAGCGAGAATTACATGATTCTCTGACATCCTTTCTGCATTGTAGTGTAGTTGGATTTGCGTTTGCTTGCTTAAAACTATCGCATGTTATGCTTCGTTATAGCTTTCTTTGCATGATCATAATTATGTTCGTCTTCGTGCATTGTCGGTTGCATTTTGCCCTTGCCTTCGGGCGCATACCTTTATTATCTTGCATGTCTGTCTAAGTCTTCGGCCTTGTCAAAAATGGGCCGTCTCTGGACTTTGACAGTCACTCCCGTCATTGTTATGACTTTCGAGTTCTGTCAAAGAGAGGCAACTGTAGACACCCCATTTTTGACCGTCCTCAAGACTTGGACATCACCGCTTGAACACTCAGTGATCATCCTTGTTTGTGTTTGTCTTGAGTTCCCGGAGGTCTCGGCTACGCGCCTTGCCTCAGGACCTCTTGACTCGACTGTTTTGTGTTTGGTTTTGCACCAAACACTTGTATTTTTGCTGTGGAGGGCAGGGAATGGCTTATTGGCCATCCCCACACATCACCGGCCATGGCTTGAGGCCACCGGCTGTGCTTTGTTGCCACCGGCCAAATATTTGGCCGGCCGGCACAATAGACGGTCGACCGGCCATCTTTTTTGGCCAAATTGCATTTTTGACCGGCCGACCACTGTGCATCTGCTTTTGCAGATATTTTATGCTAGCTACCATACACTTTGTTCCCCTCCATACATCTCCCTCTTGGCTAGCTTGTCTTGTAAGCTTGTAAGATTGAACCTTTTATAAGAGAAGGCCTCTTCTCCCTCTTTTAGGTTAGACAAGATTTTGATAGAGAGCTCTGGTTTTAGGGTTTGAGTTGTGTATCTATCCTATATCTATATCTCCCTCTCTCTTGCATTTGTGTGTGTTTTGTCTTAGTTTTGTGCACAAACACCCACCATTACACCTTCCTTTAGCTACTGAGGTACTAAGAGGCTGTTCTTGAAGTTTTTAGACTGGTTTGGAGCCAAAGAAGCAGCTGGAGTGCTGTTCTTGAAAGAGGTCTTCAAGGGTAAGGACTTTACCTTTAAATACCCCATTTTTGCATCGCTTTTTTACCTATCTTGCAACTGTTTTTAGGCTTTGC